AAAGTAGCAATTCAATGTTTAAGAAGGAGTACCTAGTTTGTTAACAATTATTTCTTAAAAAAAAAACGAATAACCGTCACAGATCGATAACCATCCAGTTTCGACCCCTGGTTCACTGGACTTCATTTGTTACTATTGACTCTTCTAGTATAATCCCTTTCAAGGAATAGGTGGAGTATCCCAATCACCCTGTATAATGAGCAACGTGTCTATTTTATCACCAAAAGCACGAAGACAATAAAAACTAATAAGGGAAATATTTTATGGTGCATAATTCTCGTATAAAAATTTGTTATCAAACCGCTCAGTAGGTGTGGCGACTCGTGTTTCTCTAGGGAAATGCGTGTAATACACAAAGACTTATGTACCATTAGATCTGCTGTCCTGAGCAATAAGCTTACTGAGTTTTAGAAATGAAATTTTTCAAAATGTGTGATGGACTATTTCTCCTAATTGCCGTGCCCTACAGGGCCCATAATGTTTTGTAGTTTAGAAGTTCATAATGGAAGCACTGATTGAATTTTGAGTACTATTAGGTATTGCCCGCGCCGTAGCTTCACATCATCATTTCAGCCATAGGACGTCCACTGCTGAACATAGGCCTCCCCCAATGACTTCCACATCGCACGGTTGGTAGCGGCCTGCATCCAGCGCCTTCCTGCTACCTTTATCAGGTCGTAGCTTCACAAAAAGCATTTATTGCGCCCTTGTTTCCTTTTTAAATAATCTAGATAAAGACTTATTCTGCGTTTTTTCTAGTCCTTAAACAATGTCTATACGGACCAAATTTTATTTAGGCGCAAAAAGGCAACAGACAGACAAACTGACACTTAGCACTTATACGAGTAAATTACCTACTCGTAATGGTCTCTCTAGTGAAGTACGGATTTTATTATGAACAGTTTGTCTAGTTCCTATGAAGTCTTTGGTACTACAGGATGTTTTCCTGGATTGCAACCTTGACCCCTGTTGGCACATTGCTGTCCACATCTCACCCTAGGGACACTTCGGGGTTTGACCTTGGCCCGACTTGGCACTTGGCAAGCAAATTTTGAGAAGTTTAAATGTGTGAGTTATGCGGGTAGCTGTTTAATTAATGCTTTCACTAATTTAATTACTTCTTTTATGAGTAGTGAAGTTAATTGTCTGGAATTAATTGGTTTCCAGTTTTATTTAAAGTAGTGACGTTATGGCCCTTAAAGTTTTGCTTTTTTACGGTAGATCTTTGATTAGAATTATTCTGGGGTAACAAACTGGGGATGCAAGATATTATAGATCGTTTTATCCACGAAGACGCGCCCCACCATTCTTCCGCTAATGTTTAAGTGTTATCAGTACACGCTAAATTATCCATGAGTGCAATGACGCTCGGATTGCTCGGTGCAAACTCCCTATACCCTCGACCAAAAATTGGTGGAACGCGTCTTCGTGGATGAAACGATCTATACACAATATTATTCTCTCAATTTCTCTCATGTGATAATAAAGTAGCAGATACTACACAACTTATTTCCACTAATTGCTATTAATTAAATAGGTACGAGTAAGAACCAATCTCGGCGAAAAACCAATGATCGTTAGGCTGCCTTTGAACTAGTTAAATTCGTTAATTCACCTGATAAACTTAATTAAATATCCAAATTCACTGCTTTCATCTTTCTTTGAGGGTAAATGAATATTTAATTTTCTAAGCCACACCGGCTCGTACAAGATTAAGTTGCTATCTATTTTATATTCTGAGAAACCAGTTTTATTCCGAAGCTTCGTTTGCGTCAAATGTTACTTTTCACAGAAAGATAACCTTATTTCACACTTAATTGTAATTTGTAATCTGGTCAATTAGCATAAAAAGTACAGCTTACTTACATTTATTATAAAAATAATAACTGCAATGTTTCATCAAAAGAAATTCAGTAGNAATCAAAAGAAATTCAGTAGAATTTGTCTGAAATACTTAGAAACTTCTGTTCGCACATTCATGCTTTTTCATCTTTTGAAGCGTTATATTGTACCTATCCATAATATAAATAACACTAGTCACTACTGAACTTCTTTCAAAAGATTCAGTGTTTATTTTCAAAAAACTGTATCAATTCATTGTTAAATAATCCTAAGCCATTCTGAAACAATTTCTTCTATAATTTACGAGAAACATTTCAATGAATCATGAATGCCTTTATTGAGGTGTTGTTGTTGACACATGTTTTAGTTTATTATTTATTTGTATAGTTTTATAAAACTGCAGCAAACATGTTTGTGACTTGAGTTGGTGCAAATATACTTAAACTCAACTTCTATAGTCATAACTATTACAAAACTACATAAAAGATTTACGCCCGTATTCACAAACGATGCTTGCTTAAGTGAAGCAGCAAATCTAACGCATTGAATAATGAATAGAGCCACATAGAGCTCTATGATTGGTTCGTGTCACCTTGTGCGTCCACGCGCACTGTGAGACCTCATAGTAATGTTGTGAATACGGGCGTTAGTGATCTAGACCAGCGGTTCCCAAACTTATTTCGTCTACTGCCCACTTTTAGAATAAATTATTTTTTAGCGCCCCCCATTTTGTAGTCAAGAGTCGAGCTCGGTCGGTGTCTAAGAGTCCTCCTAGTAGATGACGCCTCCCAAGCCTCTACACAACGTCCCGATTTTTTTTCTGGGTCTCTTACCGCCCCCCTTTAAGCCTGCAGCGCCCCCAATGGGGCGTTATCGCCCACTATGGGAAAGACTGATCTAGACCAAAAGCGAGTGTGTATTCGTTATTTTGTAAGTGTAGAAAAGCTTAGAAAATTATATCCAATATTTCTAAATTAATTTTATGTATTCAGTAGCACCTAAAACACTATAAGAATCATAGAATAACCTACATTTTGTTACTGAGGAGCTGTTGGTTTAAGCTTAGGCATAACTCATATTAAAATAAGCCACTTAATAATGGTCTTGGATTTATTTTTCATTCTTCAATGAAAGTAACTAATTTATATAATGCAAAAATAGGTCAACTTTTAAAGTTTTTAAGCCCCGATTCGACCAAATTTTTATCCGAGAATGACTCCTGGTATAACTAGCACATTGACAGTTTCAGTATGGGAATTATGTCAAAATGACAAGTTTATTCTGAGATAAATATTTACTCTTGTTTGGTCGAATCCACCCTAAGGGTATTGCGATTATTGTAATGTATTTTATAGAAAGAGGCACCGCCATAATGTCGTCAGAATATTAATCTACTAGCGTTTCTACTCCAAACATAGACAGTAGACAGAACCTTGTCTCTACGCCTTACTTTTAGAGTTCATCATCAAGTTTTATGCAAATGATACCTTCGGGGAATAAACTTCAGCTCCACATGGGGGCAGCAAATTGAAAATTAAAGCGGAACCCAACGTCAGGCAGAAAATTAGTGACTTAATAATGGTCTTCAGGACGTGATTATTCACCGGAGGGGTTAAGATTTTGTTTAAGTTTAAGTAAGTGTTGAACTTCTATCATTATTAAATTCAGCCCCTTTTATTATGAAAATTATTTTGATGGAAATTTGAATAATGAAATCTATTTCAATTGTTATTTGGATAGCAAAATCCATGTCAGGTTATGGTTGTCTTTGTTAACTAAGTACTAGCGGCCGCCCGCGACTTCGTACGCGTGGATCCCGTTTTACCCTCTTAGGGATTGAATTTAGCAAAATCCTGTCTTAGTGAGCACCTACGTTCTAATAGTAATCCCTATGCAAAATTTGAGACTCTTAGCACTTGTATTTTCTGAGATTTCATGATGAGTGAGTCAGTCAGTGACCTTTTTGGGGATTTTAGTTAAAATATTATAAAGATCAAAGTAAGTAATTAATTATGTCTGCTTAGTCATATCTCGTTTGATTAGATAAAATAGAGTGGGTACATAATTATTATCTAAGTTAAATTCTAAGAGCAAAGTAGAGGTTCTGATTTAGTTTAAAACTAGTATTTCAATTATGAGTCACCTTAGACTCCAGAGCTTAGGAAGGGTCGAGGTCAAAAGTAAATTTAATGTCGTATTCTGAAACTTTATGATTCCAAATAAAGTCATGCTGAATCCAGTTTTGCAAGTGAAATAACGCCCGTATTCACAAACGATGCTTGCTTAAGTGAAGCAGCAAATCGAACGCACAGCGTTGAATAGAGCTCTGTGATTGATTCATTTGTCACCATGTACGTCCGCGCGCACTGTGAGACCTCATAGTAATGTGTGTGAATACGGGCGTAAGACAATCAAAGTACTACAAAAAGTCACGAATTATCCGAGACAATCTACTTAATAACAGCTTTTCTCCATCCACGTGGGTACCTACATAATCCAATGTACCCCATTTTACATTAAACTACACATACTGTACTTACGTGTGAAAGTTTTGAATCCAGTTTTGGTCACGTACCCGCAATATGCGGCTGAAACAGCTTCATACGTCATACTTACGAGCAGGTGCTGCTAAAATGCTTGTTCTGTTCATATCTACTTTTTGTTTGGACTCGGTTGTTTTGAATTGTTAAAAAGTCATCTTGGTATGTGTGTGGTTAGAGGGTTATACTATGTCGTGATTTGATAGCTAGTGCTAGAATTAATTTTTCACAAGTATTTTGAATTGATAGAGTGTGGTACAGTTGACGGTACAAACTGTGGTACAAACTAAGTTATCCAGCGTGAAAAACTAGATAGTAAAAAAATCTATGAAGATTTTATTTCTTGAAAGTAGCCGCTAGGGGCGCTAGCGAGCACACCTAAACTCATGGTAGTACTGATAAGTGTGATTTTATAACAAAAGAGTGTAATGAATCTGGCCACTACATCTATCTGAACCTTTTATCTGAAGCACAAATACTCTCTCTATTTTTTTACCAAATGCAAGAAAAGAGGTAGTAAAAGATATAACTACTTAGTACGTGTAGCAAATTACCTACCTATAACCTTCACAAGTTATCAAGAGATAAATAAAAATGCGTTAAATTTTACATGATCGGTTTATTTTTTACATTATTTAGATATTTTGCTTTCAAATAAATGTTTTAAGCTATCCAGTTTGACACTAGTTGGAGTGTACAGCGTTACATACAATTACAAAGAGAGACAAAACAAGACAAAAGGGTCAGTCTTATGTTTGGGAAGTTTGTATAATGATTAAACAATATTTACAAAAGTTGGGAAGACACGTATGCAAAGTTAAAATCAACATCTAGGAAATAAATTACACAAGTAATTTTGGTGGCGGAAAACGTGTTAAGATAAAACACAACATAAACACTGTTGTTTAAATGAGTAGGTATTTTTGTAAGGACCTTAGTCGTCAGAAGGATATTATTATTATTCATGAGATGAAAGCCAGGATTAAAAGTATATAATTTTCCGCCAACAAAATTCACGACTCCATCATCACTTCATTCACCATCCCAACATATTAACAAGTTCCTTAAATGCAATTTTAGATTTTAATATTGATAACAACCTTACGTATATCTCACAAGATGTCACACATCGTCTTCACTTAGCACTCTAAATATTTACATTTCACTTAGTTATAGAGATTATCGTAATCGAATAAAAGGGGAATAGTCTAATTGACTCGAATGTTCGTGGTACCAGGTCACCTCAAGGCTGAGGGGTCTAGTACCAAGGGCCTAGGCTAAAGGGAGACGAACTCAGGTGGCGGTGGGGGCAGGGTCAGGACTGGGGTTTCTGAAACCTCAACGTTCTCTGTGCTCGCTCCTGGTAAGGACCACGTCGAGCTGCCAGTAGCAGTGACTCTAGGACCCATGTTGTCATACGCTGGAACAGTGCAACACGTCCGACTTCGTCGGGGTAATGTCGCCCCACCGCTCAGTAAGTCAGGGTATTTCCCAGTCTCACCTCTGCCAGCCACTTGAACGGAGATGAAGATATTCCCGTAAGGAACTGGCACTGCAAATTCTGCTGGCGGTGGGGGAAACGCTCCAGGTGTTCCCTCTATCGTTATATGAACAGGATCAAAACCACATCCCCGTGGCGGGTTATCGTCAAGTGACTGCTCAGTCAACTCAAAGTCACAAGGCGATGCCATATCTCCAATTGATCTGTCACAACTGACTACTACTGAAGCATCGATTAATCTTTTCTCCTGATCGGTGAAACTTCGGCTCGGCGGGACCGTCCGTCTCCGCAAATGCCAGCAGGCAACGGCCGCTATAAAACCGAGCGACGCTAAAATACCTAATGCCCCAAATACGACTCCTAAAAGCTGAGGAATTCCCGGGGCCGTGCGAGCCGTGGCTGTCTGGGAGCGGGGCAAAACTAAACTTATTACCGCGCGCGCTTCACCGGCTACGCTTTTAGCTACACAAGTCCATTCCCCGGCTGCACTAGTTGTCACATTCAAGAGAGTTATGTTCACCCATCGCACACTACCTGGCACACGTTCGCCCGATTCGTCGTCGATTATCGTTTCCACTTCTTCCATATCACAATCTATCGAGCTATTGTGTACGTTGACGCCGTCGAGGAGCCACGTGACTTTGGGTTTTGGGACGCCATGGATCCAGCATCCAAATGAAGATGCCACGCCGACTTCTGCTCTAACGACGAGTGTACTCGACCGCACTTCGGGTGCGCACGTCATACTTTCACTGGATACAGCGCGCCACTTGCTCCCAGCTTTCGTTGAAGGCTCAACGCACACTAAATCTTCCGTCCCTAATTTGCTATCCAGAAACCAGTCTTTAAACTCGCGCAGGCGGCAGTCGCATCGCCACGGGTTGCCCGACAGTGACACGGTTTTCAACGCCGGCAGCGAGAACGTGACTAAACGGAGGAATGTGAGCTGGTTCCTACACAAATCTATTGTCTCTAACGACTTCAGATTCCTTAGTGAATTCGTGTGCAGGGATCTTAATCGGCAACCGTCTAACAACAGCGTTCGTAAATGGGGTAGTGGTGGAAATTGGTCGGCCACTAGCGTTGTTAGCGGGTTGTTGCTTAAGACGACGAGTCTTAATCTTTCGTTGCCCCTGAATATTTCTTTGGGTATATTGGATAAGTCGTTGTCAGCTAGGTCAACTTCGATGAGGATTCTCAGTTCTAGAAACGCGTCAGCGTGTATGGACCTGAGTTGTGTCGCTCGTAGGTTCAATCGTTGTAGGTTTAATAATCCGATGTTCGCGAAGACTTCTTGGGGGAGGTTTCTGAGTGGGTTGTCGTGGAGGTCGAGGACTTGGACGTCTGAGGAGAGCGCTGGGGGGCGTCGGAGGTCACTGGACGCGCAGCTGGCCGTTTTCTTGCCGGAGGACCATTTGCAGTGGCAGGTGGCGATGTGGGCGCAGTCCAGCCAGTCACTCGCGGTCCGCGCGGCGCACGTGGTGAGTATCACGATCCAGTACCACCTTGCCCACGCCACGCGCATACTCATCTCATTGCGGCCCCGAGCTCACATCGGCGGAGAGCCTGGAACAAGGGAAAACAATTCTACGGTTTACCGTCGTAAATAACAATAAGGGAGCTCACACGAGGACGGTTCGTGTTTTTGACATCGTCTTCTTTCACGATTCCTTTTTCTACGGCGAGAATGTCTCACACGCATCACGAAACGTGAAAAGTGATGGATTACGGAGTGAAGTATCGTTTAAAACTCACGTTTGGTAAAAAACACGGATCGTCAATGTTTTTAGTTTTAGACATTTAGACGAATCGTGAAAAAGTACGATTCCGTATGCAATGTGAAGTTCATGCGTTACGACGTAGATTTTTTAAACGAACCGACAATAACGGATCTCGTGTGAATGCGCCCTTAGAGAAAATAGGTAAGAGGACGCTCGGTCTACGTATAATTTATTCCAGCTAGTACAATCACTTAGCAAATGTTTTTGCTAGGTACAAAAATATTGTCTGGATATCATTATCCTCGTAAGTCCCCGCGTACTTGTACAAGTACATATTAAGGATNGATTTTACGGTTTACCGTCGTAAATAATAATAAGGACGCTCACACGAGGACGGTTCGTGTTTTTGACATCGTCTTCTTTCACGATTCATTTTTCTACGGCGATAGTGCTTTTTAAATGCCCGTGTTCACACGCATAACGAATCGTGAAAAATACGTACAGCGTGAAGTGTCGTTAAAAAACATTTTGGTTCAATTTAAGAATCGTTATGTAAAGGTTTTTGTTTTAGATATTGACTAATAGTGAAAAATCATGATTTTGTATACAATGTGAACCTTTATCCGTGACGACATAGATTTTTTTGACGAATCGACATTACGGATCCCTTGTGATAGCGCCCTTAGAGAAAATAGGTAAGAAGACGCTCGGTCTACGTATAATTTATTCCAGCTAGTACAATAACTTAGCAAATGTTTTTGCTAGGTACAAAAATATTGTCTGTATAACATTATACTAAGCCCAAGGCATATTATTTATGAGTACCCTGACATATATACGCATGTAAACATGCCTCGTTATCCAGACATTTTTTTTCTTTTTGTGAATATGTAAGTTGACCCAAGTCTTCGGTATTATGTTCAAGATTAATAGAATTATCTAGTCTATGCCAACAATTGTCGGCGATTTGTAATTTCTATGACTTTTGACATGTCAAAACTTGACGAACCATGTCGGCGGCTCAGCTTTGGTGTGTAGACTGTATTAGGAATATGATTTGATTGCTCAATTCTATAGATACAATAGATCCATGTCAACAGGACTAGTCCCACCTCTCATTCCCACCGCTGCAACTCCTGTGTAGCAAGGATCTACAGCTTGACCGCCATAAAAACCCAACCAGTGAAGGTCAAGTTTGTCCCGGCGGAAAGTTAAACTGTCATTGGACCCGCAACGAAATTAATCAAAAGAACATAGGAGGAGTTTGAAGTTAAGGATAGATCCATGTCAAAACCCAAATAAAATACATTGACGTAGGTTTCTTAAAGCCAGAGTAAATACTTAAAAACCCAACCATTAATTTAACTTTAAAGCCCAACCAGCCGGCATGTTGCAAAGTTTGTTAATAACATCTGCTAACAATGCACCGACGGAAATATAAACGATGTGGTTTCGCAGCCAAAGTTAATTTTACATGACATATTGTTGCTATAATCTAAACAGATGTCTGAAGCTGGGCTACACTGCTTAATAGCTAGGCGTAAGGTTTTTAAGTGATTAGGTACTATCATTCATCATCATCATCATGATCATCATTTCAGCCATAGGACGTCCTCTGCTGAACATAGGCCTCCCCCAATGACTTCCACATCGCACGGTTGGTAGCGGCTTGCATCCAGCGCCTTCCTGCTACCTTTATCAGGTCGTCGGTCCATCTTGTGGGTGGACGTCCCACGCTGCGTTTTACGATTACTAACATTATCACACCAGTATTCACACACGATGCTAGCTTAAGTGAAAAATTTTATAAAAAAAAATAAATCCGACTCCAAAAAACCTAGGTACACTAAAAAGTAGAAAAATAATTACTAATTACCTACTTATTTATTAGGACGAATTAATATTTATGTAGGTATACCATGATTGATACTTCTGGAGTCGGTGCCAAGATTATGAAACATGTAAAGTTTGNTACTAAGCCCAAGGCATATTATTTATGAGTACCCTGACATACATACGCATGTAAACATGCCTCGTTATCCAGACATTTTTTTTTTCTTTTTGTGAATATGTAAGCTGACCCAAAGTCTCCGGTATTATGACCAAGATTAATAGAATTGTCTAGTCTATGCCTCAAGTGGTTTGAAGACTCTTAAGTTTCAAAGTGAAATAATGATGAGGAATACTATCTGTGATTCAGTAAATTTGATGGCTTAAGTCTATCTTAAATCTCTATAAATGTTTTATGTTGGTAACGACAAGCATTCAGTTTTAAAGACAGCCCGGCTTGATGCTGACGGCTTTATTTTAAAAGAATTGTCAGCGACCAAGTACTTTCTATGACTTTTGACATGTCAAAAGTTGACTATACTCATGTCGGCGGCTCTGCGTGTTTAGTGTGTAGACTGTATTAGGAATATGATTTGATTGCTCAATTATATAGATACAATAGATCCATGTCAACGGGACTATTCCCACCACACGTTCCCACCGCTGCAACTCCTATGTAGCCAGGATCTACAGCTTGACCGCCAATAAAAACCACCAGTGAAGGTCAAGTTTGTCCCGGGGGAAAGTTAAACTGTCATTGGACCCGCAACGAAATTAATCAGAAGAACATAGGAGGAGTTCGAAGTTAAGGACAATAGATCCATATCAAAACCCAAGTAAAATACATTGACGTAGGTTTCTTAAAGTCAGAATAAATCCTCAAAAATCCGACCATTAATTTAACTTTAAAGCCCAACCAGCCAGCAAGTTGCAAAGTTTGTTAATAACATCTGCTAACAATGCACCGACGGAAATATAAACGATGTGGTTTCGCAGCCAAAGTTAATTTTACATGAGATATTGTTGCTATAATCTAAACAGATTGTCTGAAGCTGGGCTACACTGCTTAATAGCTAGGGGTAAGGTTTTTAAGTGATTACTAACATTCATCATCATCATCATCATCATTTCAGCCATAGGACGTCCACTGCTGAACACAGGCCTCCCCCAATGACTTCCGCATCGCACGGTTAGTAGCGGCCTGCATCCAGCGCCTTCCTGCTACCTTTATCAGGTCGTCGGTCCATCTTGTTGGTGGACGTCCCACGCTGCGTTTTCCGATTACTAACATTATCACACCCGTATTCACAAACGATGCTTGCTTGAGTGAAAAGGAAATTTAACACACAGCGTTGAATGGAGCTCTGTGATTGGTTCGTGTGTCACCCTTTGCGTCCACGCGCACTGTTAGACCTCATAGTAATGTTTGTGAATACGGGCGTCAGTCGCTTTCGTGTCTGCCTGTCCCTATGTATTCTTAAATCTTTAAAACTGCGCAACGATTTTGATGCGGTTTTTTAATAGATAAGAGTAATTCAAGAGGAACGTTTAAAAGTAAACTTAAAACCCGTGCGAAGTCGGAGTGGGTCGCTAGTACTTAATAAAACAAAAGAAAGTTAAATTTATTTTGTAAAAGCACCACAGCGAGCTTAAACAGATTTGCCAATTATGTAAACTGTTCAATATAAAGCTTAGATATAAGTCGTGTGTATTCACCGCTTAAAGACTAAAGTACAGTGTAGCCCCGCCATAACGACACGTAGGATAAATGAACGGATATTTTTAGTGCAAGTAAGTGCTTTCATTATTAAGAATTAATGAGTTTCTTAAGAGCAAATAACTTATGGGCAGATTAGCCGCTCTCTGCCAGATGAGCTTTGTTTCGTGTGATACAATTACTTTGCTAAGTATAAACTAGGGGATAATTGTCTTAGGACAACATTAACAAGATAAATATAGATGTATTGGGCGAAAGTAAACATAATGCTTTTCAATTAAGTGAGCGTTATTTATAGCTAATATTGTAATTATTTAATGAGTTTGTGAGGAGAGGTGTATATTTCTTACTCTTCCATGCTTAAACCGCTAGACCAATTTTGATGACCCTTAGTATTCCAGATAGTTTAAAACCTATAGAAAAACATAAGGTATGTATAATAGTGGGCAAATGCTACTTTTTAATAAACTCGAAAGTTTTCTTCTTCTGTGTTCTAAACAATAAAAACTTTGTATCGAATTTAAACTCCAAATTGTTTGATCCATTATTCATAAAGTTTACAAGTTTAGCACGATACATATCAGGTAGCGCTCTTTATTGAGATATGAATTTATAAAAACCTGCGTGGGTAAAGGGTGAAAGAAATAAGCACAAATATATTTTTCACGAATATCATCCTCTGCAATTTGCCACAAACAAATCGAGAATTCAACAGACAGATGGACATCTGTTGTTCACTTATTATTTCCCCCTTTAGTGACTTCATAATAAGAGTGGTCTTATTCTGACGAAATCACACGGCTAAACGTAAAGTCAATACCTAATTGAGATCAAAGTTGTGATGTAAAGAAAGAACTAGAAAATTTTCATGTTTATAAAAAAGGAGTTTTATGTGTTTATTGAGTAACGCAAAATTTAACGATTTCAGTTGGATGTAAACTTTTACAGTGACTTTTCTTTTTCAATGGTTATATTAAAAACAACCATGAACCACGATCGCTTGTTTCTATGCTTTTTCGTTGACCACCTGAAGCATTGAAAATCGAGGTTAATCCGGCTCTAAAGCGGTGCTTCAAAAATTTCAGCTGCTAAAAAAGCGTTAAAATTTAAAAGTGTTAACCTCATTTCACACTCAAGCGGAGACCAAAAGCGGAATCGTAGTTAATGAACATTCATTAAGCTGTAATATCATTATGATTACAGGCACGTGAAAAATAATTATAAATAACGATGTCAAAAATCCTACGGGTAAAAGCAACGATTTAAGTAACCGTTAAGGATTCCGATTTTTTTA